CTGGATAATTTGTCCTAAGTGAGGAAAGTATGGGGATTCAGAAGGTAGCAATTGTCTGAGTTTGAATTTCTTAAAGTTTTTGTAGGCCAGAGTAGGGTGATGAGCAAACTGACCAAGGCACCATGGTGCAAGGGGCTATTAAAGTGGAGAGACCAAAAAAAAATTATTTGTAGTGTGGAACAATATAGTTGGTGAGTTGCTTACCATTCTCTGCATCTCAGAACCTTCATCTTAAAGGCTCTGTTGCCTGCCTGAAGATGGAATTACAGACCCCTCCATGCTACAGAAGAATTTGGAGTTGGAGTGGAATGATCCAGTTGAAATGGTACCATCAACATATGTGGGACTAAGAACGATGTTTTGTTGAGGCCATATGAACAGCTGGCAACTAAATTAAAAGCAGTAAAAAAAAAACATACAAAGCATGTATATGAACCTCTCAAAGTTATAGCAAGTGATCAGTAAATCAGATGGAATATTGGCAGTTTTTCTAAGCAACCTGTTCAGAGATGTTTTACGCACCTCTGGAGTAAGTGGGACTTGAGCCTGGCCCTCCTGGCACAGGGGTAGAGACTCTACCACTATGTAACAAGAAGACCCCAAAATATTGGCCTTTAATTCTAGGAGGATGGAGTATAAGAAAAGGTGAGGCTAAATACAAGTGTACAGCGTATTGTTGGGATTGCATCTGGAATACCGTGTGCAGTTCTGGCCTTCTTCCTTTAAGGGCATATTTACATCGAAAACCAATCAGAGAAAGCTTGTTCAGCTTGATTCCTGGGTTGAAAGGATTGTCTTATGAGGAAAGATTGAATAGTTTAGACCTATACTCATTGGCGTTTAGAAGAATGAGAGTGGGTATTATTGGAGCATGTTAGATTTGAGGGGACTTGATAAGATAGAGGCTGACAAAAAGTTCCCCTTCAGGCTATCGAGAACTTGGGAGTATAGTTTAAAAATGAGGGGTTTTCCATTTAAGATGGAAATGAGGCATTTCTTGTCTCAGGGCTGTCAGTCTTTGGAATTCAATTCCACAGAGGGTAGAGGAGGCTGAATCATTGAATATGTTCACAGCTGAGTTGAATGGATTTATGATCGATAAGAAAGTTGAGGATTATTGATGGGTTGGCAGGAAAGTGGCATTAAGACCACAATTAGATCAGCCATGTTCTTTTTGAAAGGCAGACCAGGCTTCAGATGCTAAAATGGCTTAACCCTATTGCATATGATCTTGTACCACAAATTGAGCATTGTGTGCAGTTTAGAATGCAGATATAATGTGTGCAGTTTTAGGCTTCCCTTATCAAAAGAGCATACAGAAGCAATGTGAAAAAGTGCAGTACAAGTTTACTGGCGTCTTACTGGGACCTGGAATCTGGAATCGGAGCCAAATCCACGATCTGCACTACGTTGGATGCTTGATTTTAAGTTTCTTGCATGGATAGCAGCATTAGTGATCTTTACAGTTTATTTGGTGAACTGCAAGGTTTATTTTGGATCAACTGTAATATGATTTTACATTAAGGCAGGGAATGCCTTAAGGCTGTGTGGCATTTCATCTGCAAGCACTTCCCACTCTTGTCTAATTGTTTCATTTGTTGTTACGAGTCAGAGCAAAATATTGTCTCGAATCATACACCTGCTTACAAACCTCAAGTGTATCTCCAGCAATTTAAACCTTTTTGACAGGCACCTATGGATCAAGAATTAAAAGCAAATGGATGATTGTGTGCATTCTAGTCAACCTACAGTCTATTAAGGGACTGTCGGGTGGTTGAGATGGACATTAAAAGATCCTATGAAAAGTAAGGAATCCTCTGCCATAGCAACATTCCTCCCTTAATCAACACCACTCAAAGCAGAATAACACAATTTATCTGTGCTGATTGTGAGGTCTTGTTAGGTGCAAAATAGTTCCTGTCATCTAACATGTAGGTTCTTAGTTCATTTTACTTGAAAATATTTGGGTGGTTTGAGTTACGTGACAAAGCACAATGTAAATACAAGTTATTTTAATCTTGCCAGAAAGAACAGCACGTGGCAAGTTAAATGCCATTTTCTCTGTTTTGTAGATAATAGGAACTGTTTCTCTGTTTTGTACTTGTTTTCTGGATATTTCTCAATTTTCGAATTATGCACATGCAAGGCTATTATTTGTAGCAAAAACAAATTGCTGGAGAAACTCAGCAGGTCTGGCAGTATCTGTGGGAAGAAAGCTGAGATAATGTTTCAGGTCTGGTGACTCTTCATCAAATTTTCTGACTGTGATATTCAATGTTTAACTCCCTGGAGTGGCAGTACCTTTTGACAGACTGATGCCATACTGAAGCTGGTATTCTGGCTCTTCTGCGGGGGCTACTCATATCCTCAATCACTTGTACTTTGGTATGCTTCTGGAGAGTGTGGACGAGTGCACTGAAGAAGATATGTCGTTTACCTGGTAGGGCCACCTTTATTTTTTACATATTCTCAAGTGACTTGAGTTCCAACCCTCCAGGCAAGATTGTATTTGGTGGTGGGAGGGAAGTAGCCTGGAGTTAGGTTTTTATTTTGGCTTCAGGTTTAAATTAATTGAAGTTTGTGCAAGTCGTAGTGTTTTATGGAATTAAGAGGTAGACTGCAGCATTACCTATCTGCAATATTATGAAAGCATTTTCATGTGATTGTTCAGAATGTGGTTTCCCCAGAACCTATCAAGATAGGCTATGCTCCTATTGTATGTGAAGGATCTATCATCTGAAAGGCTTTTCAACCATAAAAACCTAAATATACCAAATCTCAAATCTGCTTTTCACATGCATAGGTTGAAACCCCAGGCCAGAGTTCAACAAAATTATTACTTTCATGGTATTTGATTCTCCCCTCCACCCCCAGACCTCTCCTGTTGTTGTAGATATCCCTTTTGAGATTTTGCAAATTGTGCAAAACACCTCGTTTCACAACATAACATCCACAATTTAATACCTGTATTTAAAGATTGCTTCTCATTTAAAGGGCTCCGTTTTGTAATCAGAGTTCTAAAGTGCTGCATTTTGAATAGTTTTACCAGATTCTTTCTCTTTGTAGATTTGGATAAATTTGCAGCTGATGATATCATGGATCCTATTGCCAAGGCAAAAATGGTGGCTTTGAAGGGAATTAAAAAAGTCATGGCACAAGGAAACATCACTGTAGCACCAGGGATGAATAGGTAGATTTTACTGTCATTGTTTTTATTGATTTTGTGGAGAATGATTTGTATTTAAAAAAAAACTTCAGGTAAAAGTAGTAAAGACAAATAAAAATTACATGACCCAGGGTGGGAATTGAGTTGACGAAAATTGGGTTTAAACGTGAAAGAATTTTGGAGTTTTTTTAATTTTGAAGTTTGACTGTAGCAAATGAAAAGTCACTTGATAAATGTTCATGATTAATTTTTTTAATGAATTTTTAGGCAGCAGGTTTCATTGTTGGCACAGAGGTTGGCTGGGGCTCCAGGAACAAATGAGACGCAGACAAAATTGACACCTGGAAACAGTCAGGTACTTCAAGCTCTTTAAAACTGAAGTAGGGTGATGTCTCAAGTTTTTACAAAGAGTAAGTATTCTGGATTGTTATTTCTGGAGCAGCACTGACTCTGAGCCTTGAACTGTGTAGAAGGGTTTGAGAGTTTTATTCTTATGACCTGAACCATTCCTTTCACTGGCAGTTCCACCCTACCCAGATTATGGCAGTTCACCCGACCCAGATTATGGCAGTTCACCCGACCCTAACCCACTTGTCATCAGTTCACAATGCCGTCTCCAAATTGCCTGAATTCTTCCAGCAACAGTTGTATAAGCTGCTGTTTTTCTTCTTTTTTGTTATATTTTCTAACTGTATGCCGCATGCAGTTTGAAGAGCCAAAGCTAACAGCTCATGGATTAAAAACATTGTTGAGGAAGGACTTGGACAGTGATAATTCAGGATGAACGTTGATAAAGAGGAGAAAATAAAGCGCAGGGTTTGGGAGAGGTAGGCAATGGCACAGGCAAGAGCAGCAGTAGCAGGTGAGGAAAGAGACCAGTTTAGAGGGAGAAAGACAGCACACGGTGGTAAAAGAGTGGGAGAGAGGCAAGCTGTGGTTTGGGGAAAGAAGGACTGGAGTGATACATCAGACTGAAATATATTTTGCTCCAGAGCTTCTGGGGTTTCATTCAACTAGTGGAGTGTTTCCAGCAGCAGCAGCCGCCTCTTGTAGGATATGCAAGAGTTTTTATGGTGCTCTCTTCCCCTCCAGAAATTCTGTCGTCGTTTTAAAAACATACGTACGACCTCTTCAACTTCTTTCTTTGTGATCTACTTGGCATTGTGTAATTTCTGGTTAATGCCCTTGTTGAGTTTAAAATATCTTGCCACACCAAGACCTGGGTAACTGTGTGAAGTTTAACAGATGGTTGGACTATTTCCAACATCCATCTTTCTCCATCAGTACTCCAACTTTTCATTTCATCAGTAAGAGCTGCCACAGCCAGTTCTCTCCCGGTGTACTTACCTCCATACATCCACACACCAGCCCGTTGGACTGGTTCTATTTCCCAACTCATTTTTTGCTTTGTGCTGGTTCACTATCCTAGATTACCTATAGTTTCCATTGTCTACTATTTTCCTCACTCAGGTCAGCAGCTTTATAGTGGTTTCACAGAAAGAGGCAGTTCAGCTTGTTGTGTCTCTGCCATCACCCTGCCTGAACCTTCCCATTCTTCAGACTCTCCCCTTTTGAGTGCAGTTACCTTCGCCATTCCTTGAGTTGTCTCACGTGCAAAGACTCTGTTCTGTGTGCCGACCCCAAACTCCTCCCAGACTTCAATGTGATTCTCATTGATTCCAAGACTTCATTCTCTTAACCCTTAAATCCTCATTATTCTTGGGGCTCAGCCATTGTTAAGCTTGTCATTAGGCTTTAATCCACCTGCACTCTTTCACAATCCAACCTCAACATCTATGTTCCTTCATGCCACAATGCATGTCTGTCCAACTCCTTGCCTGCCCCTCTCCTCTGCTTTCTCTCTCAACAACCCCTCATGCAGCACCTCTCCCACAACCTGTCTTCATCCCCAGTCCAAACTTCAAATGTTGCTTCTTATGTTCCTACATTCCTGGACCTTTTTCTGTTTTAAAAGAAAAACAAAAGTCGTTTTAATGGATATTGAATACACCAATTCAAAACAAATTCAGGACATTGATGAAAAATCTATAGATGGAACAGTCAAAAAGCTTTTTTAAAATTACAGCCACAGAGAAAAGGAAGGAAGATGAAGGTAGTGCTAAGCAGAGAAAATTAAAGAACTGCAAGAGCAAATCCTTGACGTACTGCAGCAAGATATTATGGATTTTATTTCTATATATTCTTGTGTGTGAACTTTTCACAGCTGTCTGAATCCTTTAATGATTGTAATGTTTTATATTTGCCAGCAGGAGGCTAATAGTGACCAGATGCAAGCTCGGCCAAATCCACCAACCTTTGTCCAAGGGTTTATCAGTAAGTCTTCAGCTTCTTTATTTGGGAACTGACTGTGATGGTTGCAGGTTTTGCTGTTCAGACTTTAAGTCTGGATTTAATGTCAATACAATACTGTATGAATAAGCATTTTCGTTAGGAAAATGATAGCTTTGCTAGAAGAGTAAGAGCCCCATGTTTAATCTTCTTGACTCACTTGCAATTTTTCCTACTTTGTTTATTGCCTTTAGCCTGTTCTAACAATTACACATTCTTTTAATTTTTTTCCTCTAGTTAAAGTTTCACTTGTCAAAAACTTGTCCCTTAACTTTGGCAAGTTTCAAAAACTTGCTACTTCCTGAGTTTTTCTGGCATTCTCTGTACTAACATACTGTTCTGTTAAATGGACATTTTACCTCCACAGTGATTGTTGTAATTGTTGCAGTTGTGGAAGCCGAACCATTTTGACTCAATTCCAAAGGGTTCCAAACACCTTCTCTCAACTCAACTTTACTGAATGCCATTTGAACACATGTCTCTCCCCAACAGTTGTAGCTTTTAACTGACAGCCAAATCAAAAATAACACTTGTCATCGACATTGTTGGATAAATCACCCTGTTTTGCTCTTTCTGGTGAGGCTGTACTCCAAGTGTCAGTTTGAGCCATCTTTGCAGCATTGTATGAGTTTAGGCTGGAAACAAGGATCTTAATTGTTGTTACCTTTTTAAACTGTATTATTATGACTACATGTATCATAGTAGAGATAAAAACTCTTGGTTGCTGTAGGTTTTCTCCCAGAATCTATATAATCTGTAAACTGTCTTTTACATAAAAGTCAGCAGAATTAAATCTATTTCGAGCTTTCATTCATAGTTGTGTTCAGTAGTAATCCTAAAATGAGAAGTTCTGCAGACTACCAGTTGAGCTAATTGATAAATCATTGGCAAGTGTTTGCTGTTAATTTCATGGCATGGTTCCCTGGTCCTCTCCCAAACCTTGCTAATTATTTCAGAATGGGAGTTTGTTAGATTTAATGGTATGCTTAAAGGGCAAATGCAGCAAATTTACTGGCAAAGCTGAAATTTCTGCTTGCCAAATTGGCCATGACTTATCACCATAGCTTTCTTTTGTTCAGTGAGTTATTCTGTTCTGGGATAAATATAATCTTAGTTTGATTTTCTTTTGGGGCTGTCTATATGCGATATGGTTCAATTTTCTTTTGTGATAATAACAATTAGACAGTGAAAGTTAAATCAGTGTAAATAATCACATTTTGGTTTTTAATCTGGAGTAACTTTGCAGTAGTACACTTTACTAAATCTTCAGTCTTCCAGGTGAAAGTCTGGATTTAAAACCAAATCTAATGACAGCATGTAACCATTGCTGATTGTTGTAAATAGCCTTCTGGTTCACTAATGTTCTTTAAGGAAGGAAATCTGTCACCCATATTTGGTCTGGCCTATGTATGATTCCAGACCCACAGCAGGGTGGATGACTCCTAGTCGCCTTCTGAAATGGCTCTAGTAAGCTGCTCACTTCAAGAGCAATTGGGAATGGGCAATACATGCTGGCCCAACCAGCAATGTCCACATCCAACAATTTGTTTTTTGAACAAGGGAAATTTCACTGGAAAAATGATCAATTTATGCAGTTAAATACTCAAGAGGTGTAAGTTTTACTGAGACCAAGTGTTTTGCATACCAGCCCCAGGTTTTATCCACAAAATGACAAAAGAAGCCTTTATTTTCTAAAAAGTGCTGAAGTAATAAAAGCCTGCATTGTGAAGAGGAAAAAAATTGCAGATACATCTGTTCCATTCTTCATGTTAATCTCATTTATATGTTGATGCCTAGCACATTTAAAACCAAGTTACCTTTTTTAAACAGCATTTTGACACTCTTAAATTAAGCAGCTGTGGAGATGATTATTCATGTTGATGTTTCAGCCTCCACTGTGACTTTTTGTTTTCTGCTTTTAAAACAGAGCTAAAATTTTCAGTTTTTGCTAAAGTGTGAAGGAACTAAATCTCTGTATAATTAATTTCAAGACACTTCGAAAATTGCACTCTAGATAACTTTAATATTTGGATAAGTCAGTTGAATTATTTGCCAGTTCGTGTTTGGTTCTTGTATTGTAGATGAGGCAGAGCACCGTCAATATGAAGAATGGCTGCTCCATACACAGCAGCTGCTTCAAATGCAGCTGAAATTTTTAGAGGAACAAATTGGCGTCCACAGGAAGTCCAGGAAAGCATTATGTGCCAAGCAACGAACCGCTAAGAAGGCAGGACGCGAGTTCCCCGAGGCAGATGCAGAAAAACTTAAACGGGTTACAGAGCAACAAAGTAAAATCCAGAAACAACTTGATCAGGTAGGGATTAGAGTATAAATCTTGAATTTTGAAACCCAAGCTTGTTGAGTGTTGACTAATGAAATCACTTATCAACTTGATTTTTGTTTAAAATCATGGGCAGCAGTGCCACAAACATGGTAATATGTTACAGATAGGATTCTGGACTTAGCCATCCCATTATCCCTGTTGTGTCTAATAGTACAGCTCTATACGTTTGTTTGTACGTATATTTGGAAGCCTGGAGCTTGTCTCTTTGTTTATGAAACACCTTAAAGTTTTCCTTCCAAGAACTGAAACAAGCTCCAGCTTTCTGAAGCAATGTTGCCTAAGTTTCCTTTTTTACTTTTGTTTTAAACTTAAATGATGAATTCTGCATATTTCCTGATTGCAGCACTATGTATATTTAAAACATGATTTTTCCGACTTATTGGACTGCTAAAATGGTTTTGTCTACTCAAAAAGGAAGTCCCTCTTTATAAAACTGCCTCCCTAACATTGACTAAATTGGCTAAACTTGGTTTAGAATGAGTCATGTTAATGTTGTGCTCTGCTTACATGCTTTGTTATGAAATTGTACTGACTAATTAAGCTTCTTCATGTTTAGTTCTAAGTTTTATTTTATGTTTCAGGTCCGTAAGCAACAAAAGGAGCATACAAATCTAATGACAGAATATCGAAATAAACAGCAACAAAAGTGCTCTTTATCTCCCTCTGGGCTGATGCCAACAACCTCATCCCAGAATCCGAGAGTAATGCCCAAACTTTCAACACCCATGTTATCAGCAGCATTAGCCCAGCAAGGGGGCGCAATCGTTGGATCTCAAGCAATAGCTCAACAACCAAGTACGCTAATAGGGCACACAGGAAATATGAGAGTGCCACAAATCGGGGCTACAGTACCACTGCAGCAGGGCCCAACATTCTTAACTTCAGCTGTGACTCAGCAACCAGAATATCCCCCTGCCTCAGGAACTGTATCTTCTGCTCCCTCAACCAGCTTTTTTTCTGGAAATTCTGCTGCTCAAACACTTACAAATGAAAGCAGACTCCTGCAGGAGAGACAGCTTCAACTGCAGCAAAGAATGCAACTTATTCAACAGCAAGGACTTGTAGGACCGTCTCAGCAGCAAAGCATCATGGGGAAGTTACAGCAGCAAGGTATCATTGGGCAGCTTCAGCCAACGACGCAACAAAGTATTGTGGGTAACAAACCAATACAGCAGGGTATCATGGGCCAGCAGCAGCAGGCCTTCATTGGACAACAGCAGGGGATTGTTGTCCAGTCACAACACCAACCTGCTCAGCAGCAGCTACCCCAACAGCACAACAACATGAGTCAGACACAGCAACAGCCAGCAACACAGCACCAACAGAGTCTGGCACCTCAGCAGCATTTGAGGTTGCTGAGTCAACAGCAAGGCCTCCTTGGGCATCAGCAACCACACCAACAGGGTCTTGCAAGTCATCCAAAACCTTCTCGGACCCAGCAAGGTTCTATGGCTCAGCAGTTGACACATCAGCAAGCTCTTGCAGTTCAACAGCAAGTGCTCACTTCTCAGCAGCAGCAGCAGCAACAGAATCTGGTTTTACAGCAGCAGGCATCCAGTGCTCCTTTGCAACAGCAAGGGCTCATAGGACATCAGCAAGGGGTTGTATCCCAGAATCAGCAATTGGCAACAATGCCACCACTACAACAGCATCACCTTCAGGCTGTATCAGGACAACTCCATCCACAAAGTGTTATCAGACCAAACAATATCCTGAGACTTTCCACACCGTTCCAACAGCAAAGCACAATGGGGCATCAAACTCGAATGCAGGGTATAATGAGGCAGCAATCTCAGGATGTTTTGGGCCAGCATCTCGCAACACCAGGCATAATGGGACAGCAGACTCCACTGCAAGTCATCAGGCACCAACTGCCAGGCATAATTGGGCAGGCACAGCAGCAGCAGCAGCCTCAAGGCATGATAGGGCAGGGCATAAGGCAGCAGCATGCACCCCAAGTCTCAGTGGAGCAAGGGCAGCAATCCCAGCCTCAAGGAACAATGGGTCAGGGACAGCAGCATCAGCCCCAGAGCACAATTGGACAGGGACAGGAAAATCAGCCCCATGCTATAATGGGAATCGGACAGCAACCACAGCCTTCTGTCCAGCCCCAGGTAACAATGGGGCAAGGGATGGAGCAGCAGCAGCAACAACCTCTTCAAGCCCAGGTTAGGATGGGGCAGCAGTCACAGCCATTATCCCAGCCCCAAAACATGGTGGACCAAGGAATTGGACAGCACCTGACACAGAGCCCAATGGGTCAGCAGCCTCCTCAGGGTCCACTAGGGCAGGGAATGCCACAACAGCAGTCATCCCAGGCGGCAGTGGGGATAGGACAGCAGTCACCCCAGAGTACAGTGGGGCTGGGACATCAGCAGACACAGCCTCAGGGCCCAGGAGGAATGGGAAAGCAGCAGCCCCACCATCAGGCCATATTGGTGATGGGACAGCAACAGGCCCAGCATCAGGGTGCAATCGGATTGGGACAGCAACAGGCCCAGCCTCAGGGCCCGACGGGAGTGGGACAG